TGTTTGCCTTTTTTTTCTCATTTTTTAAAAAAAGTATCAATTTAGTGTGTCTGGAGTAGATAGACACACACAGGGGCCCTTGAACGACCCTTATCCTGTGCATGTCACGTGCTAGGACTTGCCCTGTTTGTGTGTGTATGTGAAGGAGACGCCACCAGTGTACTCAGGAGTGCGCCAACAGTAGAACGTACATCTGGGACTGGGCGTTGAAAGACCACTACTATCAAAGGTCTCCGTTAAGTGTCCATTGCTGTGACAAAATCCACCTAAAAGGAGGGAAGGGTTATAGTTTAGTTTGACTCGCGGTTTTGGTGCTAGAAAACGACGGAGCTTTTAGAATAGGAGCCTTCAGGGGTCATTTAATACCCAAACTATAATGAAATCCCCAAATAACTATAACCGTGTCAGCGCAGCGCACCTGGACAGTAGGTAGAGGCTGCGGGTGCCCTTGAGACCGTGTCCTTGGTCCTTTGGCTGGGTCCATATGAAGAAAGGGGATGTCCCCAGTGTGGACAGGCTCCCTGGGAGTAGTGAGTTGTTAGCTCGTCCATCCAGTGGCACCAGGAAAACACCTCCTGGGGCCTTTGTGAAAGGTGAGTGCCCTGAGCTCCGGTCCACAGCACCACGTCCAAGAAAGCCACAACTGCCATCTCTTGTCAGCTTCCTTCACGTGGTTTGCACCCCCTTTAAAGCCACAGATCCCATGCTCCCTTCCCGCTGCCCAGCACCTCCTGTGTGCCAGGCACAGTGCTGACCTCGGGGCTCATGGTGGTGAACAGAACAAGCAGGCTTTCTGCAGAGATAACTGTGTAGTTGATTCAGGGGACAGTCACTGGGAGTCCCAGTCATGGCTGAAGCTGGCTCTGGCTCTTGTGGGGCATGAAAGGGACTGTTCTTGCTGCTTGTGCTTCCCTTGTCCGAGGTCCCCGAGGTCCCCTCCCTTTGTTCTCCTGCCTCCTCCTTCTCCAGTTCTCAGCCTTCCAGAATCCAGCGAGAAGCCCGCTGTGTTCTGGGGTTGGTGGAGGTGTCCTTTGCTTGCCGGGTCCCACCCTGCCGCAGTCCCTGTTGGAGCTGGTCGTTTCTGCAGCCCTTGTCCAGGGTGCGACTAGATCTCACAGCTTTGGCCCAGTGAGAGGAGCTAAGGGATGGAGCCCCTGAGGCCTCTCTCTGATGTTGGAAACCCGCGCGCAAAGCAGAGATGTCTAAACTCCAGAGCAGGCCTTCCGGTCCACCCCGCCGGTGCCGCGCCAGACAGCGCCAGGTCCTCTGCTCAGTTGTTTGTCTTCAGAGGCCAGAGCCGGAGATGTTGATATTGCAGTTTAAATACTGCTGTTCCTTAGCAACCCCTCTCGGCCCGAGATTTTCATAATTTACCCTTAGTTTCAGAGCTTCTTAGAACTACACTCTGATAGGATGAGAACATGCATTTTAGGTCATAAAAATTCATATTTTCAGCAGGGCATGGTGGTGCACACCTGTAATCCCAGTGACTCGGGAGTCTGAGGCAAAAGGATTGCTAGTTTGAGACCAGCCTTAGCAATTTAGCGAGGCCCTAAGCAATTTAGTGAGATCCTGTCTCAAAAATAAAAAAGGGCTGGTGATGTGACTCAGTGTGTAAAGCACCCCTGGATTCAATCCCTGGTACCAAAAAAAAAATATATATATATATATATTCATAAAACCAAGTGATTTCATAAGTGCTTGTCCCCATGACCCTGCCTCCCAACCCCCTGGCTGCTCCCATTTTAAGAGGACAGAATTTAGGGGATCTTCAACTGGGAGATCTTGCCTGCCTTACACACCTGCAGCCTGGGAATAATGGAAACAAATGCTGTTTTTCCAGGGAATAGTTACTTTATGGGTCTTGTCTCAAATTCTGGCCAGTGTCCTAACGCCTTAGTCACTGCTCCGTCCCTGACATGCCTGTGTTCCCAGCACGTCCCACTCCACTCTTATCAGCCCTGTCTCAGAGCAAGTTCTTACCCAGCTGACCCAGCAGCCCACCGGCAGAGAAGAGTCGGGTGCATTAAAGGACCGTTATCTCTGCAGAAAGCCTGAGACTATGCCCTTGAGTCCTATTCCCCTGAATGGCGTCAGTCCTGTTCAGCGCCAAACTTTGTAGAGCAGATGTAAATACGATGGGCTTTTTTGGACTTCCTAAACCCAAAGAAGTCTTGACTTTTGATTTGCTTGCCCAGCTTTCCGGGAAAATTTTGTATTTTATAAATAGATTTGTTGTCTTTTTTTCGCCCTCACTCCAGTCATGAATTTAAAAAATAATCATTCTCATTATCATCATTCAGAAATAGCCCAAGTAAAAAAGTCTCCCAACTCCCATCCCATTCAGTTTCTTCTTTGTTATAAGTTGTAGATAACAATTTGGTGTGCATCCATCCATACCTGTTCCTGTGTTCATGCTCATATATGGTACACACACATACACAAGTGCACACACACAGGATTGTGTGTTATACACCCCGTATACACTCTGTATGTGCTGCTATTTAGAATCACCATCGTGTATGTTTTTTTTTTAATATGCAATTTTCATTTAAAAGTAGATGAAGGGATGTTCTTCCAAATCTGGACTTTTAGCTTTTTATTTTTTTGTACAGAATTTTATGGTCTGGCTGTACTGTAACTTAAGTCAGAACTTCTCCTTCTTGGGGAATATTCAGGTTGTTACCGTTTTCTGGTTTTCCATGAATAAGTATTCTGCTGCAGGTAAACTTCTCTGACAGGAATCTTTATGAATTCTTGTTGGATAAATCCCAGAGCATACACATTTTAAAATGTTTCTCTGCCATAGTACGTCTTTAAAATTTTTAGTGTTCTATAGTCCTACTACTGAGATACATTTAAATCATATAATTAAAGCATTTTGCTAGATCTGTTTGTCTGCCAGACCTTCTCAAGGTGGCTACATGTATATCTTTGTTACATAGAAGGTATATATCTTTTTACCTCCAGGTTAGATTTACTGGTTGCATTCACATAATTGGATTTCCCTTCATACATTTAATCAGTTGGAACCAAAATGCCACTTAGATAAATTTGACCCACTCAAATGTCCTCCTTCTGCCAGAGTCAAACTAAAACCTCCAATAAATCATGACTTTTATTTCTAGAATGAACTCACAGAGTCCTTTGAAGCCTGCAGATGTTTAAGGAGTAGTTCAGCAGCTACTTGATTGTTATGAACTGAAACCATACAGGTGATCAGATCAGTAGCCAAGCTCTTGTAGAATTCAGAAATTCAAAATAGTCAGTAAATATATAAAATATAGCTATTCTTATGACCCCAGGTCTCCATGTTAATTCTTTTCTAATAAATTCTGTGTAGTTTAATAAGAGCAAAGCAGACCAAGAGAAGCCAGTTTGCTAAATAATACAGCTTGCAAAAATAAACATAGTAAACTAGATTATTAAGTTTCACCTTTATAAAGAATATCTAATGACATGGAGAAATGGATACTACCTAGTAAATAAGGGGACAGGCTTTAAAATTAGGGCAGTGTTTCCCAGAACTCCCCCCTCCCATCCAGTGGGATGCTGAGTCCTTCATGTCTAAATTAGCCTGAGAAATACTTAGCTGATCAAAATTAAACTCATGTGGGAAGACCTGTCTTGTTGGAGATTCATAGAACATCAGGTAAATCTTCGACTTTGCAACTTTTTTGAGAAATACCTACCGCCTTCCTTTAAGACGCTTGGTTTCCATTGAATATAGTATGAAAAATATCGATATTTTTTGTCTTTAAAAATGTAGTGTATATATATGTATTGTATATGTTTACATTGCATACTTAGGTATGTTCATATGTTCATGTACATATATGAGCAGAAAACAATAATCTGGAGAAGATAAATGAAAAGGTCATCTCAGAGTTGTGAAATCACTGTTAAGATTTTTTCTTGGGCTGGGGATGTGGCTCAAGCGGTAGCGCGCTCGCCTGGCATGTGTGCGGCCTGGGTTCGATCCTCACCACCACATACAACAAGATGTTGTGTCTGCCGAGAACTAAAAAATAAATATTAAAAATTCTCTTCAAAAAAAAAAAAAAAAGATTTTTTTCTTTAGACCAGCCTGAATATCCCAGATTTAATTAAAAAAAAAAAACAGAAAAATGAACACTTCCAACATTGAAAAAATTGTTTTCTCAGGGAGCCCCGTAGTACAAAGGGCTTAACTTTGGTTGTTCAAGTGGGGGAAACTGCTGTGTAGAAAAGAAAACATAAGTATTGGCAACAGATGTGTTCATCCTCTCATTTGTTATCTTGGGCAAAGCATCTATCCTCTGACTGTCACTTGCAAAATAAGAATAATTGTAGTTTCTCCCAGAGGGCTATGGGGAAACCATGTCATGCACTATATCAACCTATTTGATATGTGCTTGTAGATACACAATTTATTTTAAATTTTTGGTAGTGATTGCATGTATAAGGAAATAGCGCTTTAAACAGAATTACTATATGTCAGACAAATGTTTTTACTTTGGAAATAAACTTCTAAAATGACAAATGACTTTCGTCATTAAGCAAAAGATGTGGTTCACACCATTGAGTTGGAGGGAAATGGGGCTCAAAACTAATTCAGGTGATTTTTATTAATTTTGAGTCAAAATCCCCCCCCCATCCCACCACCATCACTACTTGCTTTTAGCGTGTGTCAAATTGCCAAGAAAAAAAAAAAAAAAAAAAAGTTCTACTTATCAGGACCCATTATCTGTGACTCAGATCCTCCCCATGACTTCCCCCTGCCAAAGATCCTCAAATGTAAAACATTAGTAAAGGATTTAGTCAGTTTCTCCTAGAACTGTAGAATTTCTTATTGGGAAGATTTTTTTCCCTTAATATGTTAACAACATATAATCACTTTAAAATGTTAAGATTTTGGAGCCATGTATGGTTAAAGCATATTTTCACATCCTACTTTCCTTAGCTGTTTTTTCACAGTGATTTTTTTTTTTTTTTCTTTTTGGCCTCTCTCTGTCATTTAGCAACTCTACCGAAAGAAGCCAGGTTTGGCCATCACATTTGCAAAGCTGCCTCAAAATTTGGACAAAAACCGATATAAAGATGTGCTGCCTTGTGAGTATCCGGCATGAATGCCTCCTTCCCCCCCTATACTGAGATAATGTTTCCCTTTTTAAAACAGATTGTCTGGTATTCTGGAGCGATTTTCAGTGTGTCTGTAAACACCACCGTCTTTATTGCAGCCATTTCAGACTCTGAACAGTTGGGGAATAGTGTTTATGCTAATGAGGCAAGAGCTGCAGATGGGGCTGGGAACTGAACTCTTGTTTACTTGGGATGATAAAAATAACACTCAGAATAATGGGTAAATTTTTCTCTCCCACAGATGACACCACCCGGGTATTATTGCAGGGAAATGAAGATTATATTAATGCAAGTTACGTGAATGTAAGTTAGGAAGCCGGGTGGTAAGATACAGCGCGTTCATCACTCTAACAAGGATGGGGGTGGCCTGCAGGGTGCTTGGCAGTTGACAGTGCTCTCCTGTTCACGGCCTCATTTCAGCTCAGCAGCCATGTGAGGGAAGGCAGAGGGGTCTCAGTTTTACAGAGGAGAAAACTAAGGTTCAGAGAGACTGAATAATTTGAAAAGCCGCAAAACTGAGATAAGGGCAGGAGGCCTTCAGTGTCTCTAATTCCATTGTCCACACACCTCTGTATTTGCTGCTTACTTGGATATTTGGTTTTGCTGGCGGTATGTTTGTTACTTTATGTGGTTTTCCCCACATTATTAGTGTCATCCTGCCTAAATATAAGAAAAACAATACCTCTTCTGTACCTAAGACCCAAAAGAGGAAAAGGAAAAGGTATACATGTTTTGGGGAAAGCATTCATTTTTACTCTGAAAGTGCATTTTGGGCAATTTACCTGGTCTCTCTGAACTTCAGTTTCTCCATCTAAATCCATTGTCAGCACACTTTTTCTATACAGAGTCAGAATTTGGTCTTTGCCTTTAAGATGCTGCCATTTAAAAAATGTTGAAAACTACTCTTAGCTTGTGGCCAGCAGATTTGACCCTCAAGCCATCATCTGCCAAACCCTGACCTAAACAAATATGACTTTTCAGACTAAGTCTCAGGTTATAGAAGTGATCAAGAACTGTCCTGGAGCTGGGGTTGTGGCTCAGAGGTAGAGTGCTTGCCTAGTACACGTGGGGGGACTGGGTTCGATCCTCAGCATCACATTAAAAAAAAAAAATGAAATAAAGATATTGTGTCCACCTACAACTAAAACATAAATATTAAAAAAGAAGAACTGTCCTAATAAAATTTGGTCTGATCATTGATCTTATTTATTCCAAAGCATCTATGGGATTCATAAGCCCTCACTTCAACATTGTTGATGTCTTAAGAACAGAGAATCAGAACTGGGTGGCCACCCCACAGAATCCAGTCTCTTTGTTTTATCAAGGGTCAAGGAAGCCATGAGCCTAAGCACTAACCCAATCATGAATTGGGATCCTTCATTTACCTTCCCAACCTAAGTGTGAATGAATGAAGTTGCCAGTCCAAAGCGCAGAGGGCTCTGAGTGTAATTGCATAGAGAAGACTCAGCACAGAGGGCAAAATGAAAGAGGAGCAGCATGGGAAAATGTTGGTCAAGATGGACCAACTTGGGCTGGGGCTGTGGCTCAGTGGTAGAGCACTCGCCTAGCACGTGTGAGGCCCTGGGTTCGATCCTCAGCACCACATAAAAATAAGTAAATAAAATAAAGGTATTGTGTCCATCTACAACTAAAAAAAAAAAAAAAAAAAGATGGACCAACTTAATGACATTATCGTTGGAAGTCATGCAGAAAGCAAAGTGTGACAAGAGTTGGCAGTATTAACCTGTATTACTGATGCCACCAACTCTTGTCTGCTTTGAATAAAAATAATTATTTCCTGCTCTTAATTTCATGGCACATAAAGGGTAGCCTAATTAAAGCTATTTGAAAAACAATTAAATGAAATAATTCTGATAGAAATTCCTTCATGGGAAAACTTGGTGAGGATCGATGTGTCCTGCTTAAAATGAAGATAATGGATAGTAGTTATATTTAGTAGAAAGCAATGAAAGTCACTTAAACTCCATGTTGAAGGGACATTTCTGGGTTTTGCCAACAGAATGTCATCCACTTTAATCTTAAAGATATTAATGATGGCGTTACCATCAAATCTTTTTCAAGGATTTTTAGCAATAACTTTCTTTGATTTTTCTTATTCACTGTGGATTGATATAATGGTTTGATGTGATATCAGCAAGTAGAAGAGTTTAAAATGCAGAACCCTGTCCACCTTGTGGAAGTAACAGATTATAATCCCTTACCAATCTCTTGCTAGATGGAAATTCCTGCTGCTAACCTTGTGAACAAGTACATTGCCACTCAGGGACCCCTGCCACATACCTGTGCACAATTTTGGCAAGTCGTCTGGGATCAGAAGTTATCTCTAATTGTCATGTTGACAACTCTCACAGAGCGAGGGCGGGTAAGTAGATCAGTTTCCAATTCAGATGTGTGCAGTGTCCCATCATGTTGTATGGAGCATAAATCTTGGGTTGGAAGTGGCCTCCTGGTCTAGCCCCTTCATGCCCCATAGAGCTCTGTGGTTCCACCGAATGGACACCCCCAAGGATGGGAAGCTCAGCCCCACTCCTGCCCACTCCCAGCATGGATCCAGTATATCAAGCCTTACCTTACTCTTGCCTTACCCTACCTTCTCAGAACCCCTGTATTGGCTGGGACAAGTGCTGGTTCTGAAAGGGCAATGTGTACCAGGTAAATGGTGGCTGTAAATAGAAAGAGAAATTATATTATTCTACCATTTTTCCATAGAAACAGTTCTATGATCCTGTAACAGAAGTCAGTATATAAAGGATACTCCTATCATGCTTCCTTAACTTGTAGATACATCTGGATGTCTTCTTTATGAAATATTCAGAAACACATTCCAAAATCAAATAGAAATTACTTTTTTTAATATCTATTTATTTTTATGTGATGCTGAGGATCAAACCCAGGGCCTCGCACATGCTAGGTGAGCACTCTACTGCTGAGCCACAACCCCAGCCCTAGAAATTACTTTTGAGCCCCCTGCTTTGAGTGATCTCTGTGCCACTTCCTCCCATTGATTCCCTCCCCAATGTAGTTCAGAAAGCCAAAATAATCCATGTTGAAATTGAGAATACCTAGGAATTGATAAAGCTACTATTCTTGAAGAGATAAGTCTACTTTCTCGCCTGAAACAAAAGAATTTCTACTAATTCCACGGAGCCCCATGGTTTGCAGAGGGCTTTTACGTATGTGGTCCTAGATAAACTGCTCCCTGCCTCGCCTAGCACACTTCCAGGATCCATCCTGTTGACGTTCAGCTCTGCTTTTTAAAAATTCCCCCTCACAATGAAGATATCTCTTTTAACCTTCATCCCATTTGGTTCTGCTACATGGAAGACACAAAATAAGTTCCCCTTCTTTTCTGTATCAACTTTTTCAATATCTGAAAATAACCCTGGGCTTCCATTAAACCACGATCAGCAGAGATTATGTGGACTTTATCTTGCGATTGCCATTGAGCCTCTTTTTCCTCTTCAGCGCTTAGGCCCTTAGCTCTGGGAACCTTCATCCAGCACACTGGAGCCAGACTAGGATGAAAACAAGGTTCCTTTTGAGCAAGTCACTTAACGTCTCAGACCCTCGGCTTCTGCTGAATGTACGATGGAGATAGTAATCGTGCCCACCTTGGAGGGTTAGTGACAGTGCAATATTATTAGCTTAGAGAACTGCATGTTTCAAGTGTCCAGAAAATGCTGGGTATTTAGTCCTCAGATCTGGTTTTGGGGGCATCCTTATTTCTTTGCCCTAGTTATTATTCTTAGCTCTTGTTGATCACAGAGTTAGTAAGAATCTCTCATCCCTAAGTCAATGATGAAAAATCGTACAGTCAAGAAACAGTGGAAACTTCCTCTAGAATACTGTTCTTCAGAGGCACTGAGGACGCACTTTGGGGAGCAGTTGTTAATCCTGGCAACCCTGCTCTTGTCCCCTCCCATTTTTGCTTCTCCTGTACCCAGTTACCATGAGAGACTGTCTGAGGCCAGCTCTGTGGCATCACCTCGTCTTTTTGTCTGGAAATCTCATTTTTATCTATTTTTGTTTCAGTTGTAATTTTTTAAGATTTATTCCAATTAGTTATACATGGCAGTAGAATGCACGTTGACACATCATACATAAATGGGGTATAACTTCTCATTCTTCTGGGTGTACATGACGTCGAGTCACACTGGTTGTGTTTTTGTTCTTTTTTGTTGTTGTTGTTGTTTTTATCTATCTACTGTGTCCCAGGCTTCTTTATTTAAGAACAAAGTATGAGTGATGTGGGGATTAAAATCAAGAGCATGATTGAACTTCACCTTCCCTCCAACCAGTTCCCCAACTCCTCACCCCACCCTTTGAGCTTCCAATTCCTTCCTTAGTGAATGAAGAACTTAATCCCCAAAGCCCTGGTCCGGACTCCAGGTTCTCTCTCTCGCTCCTCTGGAAAGGGAAAGTACCTGGGAAAGGCAGGTACCTCAGTTTGAATGCATGGGAGAGCCCAGAGTGGTGACAGAGACAGAGGGAAAGGCTTCCCCCTCAGGAAAAGGAACCAGGTGGTAGAGTGTGGAGAAGTGAGGGCTTCTGTAACCTGAGGGGCCCTGGGGCCAGAGGAAAGGATACAGGTCCCCCTGAGAAAGGAGAAGCTGCAGCCTCAAAATCTTCTTGTTGGGAATAATCAATGCTTGATCGTTTGCCCTCCTGGCGCCGGTTACAGAACCACACTCGGACCACGTCCTTCTCAAGCCCCAGCTGTTCAGCAATGTGGCTGATCTGCTGCAGTGTGGGTTTGGGGCACTGCAGGAACATGTTCTCCAGGTTGCCTCTCACTGGGTTCTCCATACTTGTTCGCTTTCTCTTCCGGGCTTGCAGGAGGGTCTCTGCTTTGCATATCTCCTGAAGGTTCTCATTGTTGTCTGCTTCCTCCACCCACTTCTGCAGCAGGGGCTGCAGCTTGCACATGTTCTTGAAACTGAGCTGCAGAGCCTCAAAGCAGCAGATGGTCGTTTGGCTGAACACCTTCCCAAAGAGAACCCCCAGGGAGAGCCCCATATCGGCCTGAGTATATCCCAGGTTGATCCTCTTCTGCTTCAGCAGCTTGGCAAATTCCTCGAGTTCTTTCTGCAAAGCTTGGATATCTTGGGACTCCTCATGGTTTTGATCCACCTTCTCCTTCTCCACTTTCACAACAGCAGGGTGAGCAATGCAAAGCTTGCGGGAGGCCTCCTCAGAGTTGCCTTCCATCCCAGCTCCCACCTCGATCTCAGGTTGAGAGGTCTCCAGGCCACTGTGGGGGATCAGGCCCATTCCAACCTGCAGTCCACAGTACGCCATCCCTCTACAGAACTCATAGGGCAGAGGGCATGAGGGAATCCCCCACACCTCCGAACCTGGCCCAACCCCTGGCCCGATTCCTGGACCACCGGGAGGGCCTGGGAAACTTAGCCAGGTCCGAGGGTCAATCCAGCCCGGCTCTGGCCCTCCTGGCCCATCACCCCCACCACCCAGAGGGGGTGAGAAGGCAAAGTCCAAAGCCAGATGTCCAGCCATGGGTTAGAAAGGCACCCCAAGCCGGGGCTCTGTAAGGGCTCACCAAGGAAAAGCTCAACACCTCTCCTGTTTTTGTTCTTAATAAGAAATTACTTGGACCCTTTTGAATATAGGTAACTCCAGCCAGCTCACAGTACCGTCCCCTCTGTTTTACTAAAGAGCCTACAGCTTGCTGGTTCTGTCGCGTAGTGGGTAAGGAAGCCCTAAAACCATACTTTTTGAGTTTAAATTCTCGCTCTGCGTTTGAGTTACAAGCTCCTGTGTGGCTTATAACTGTGTAAAATGGGAGTAACCACAATCTTGTAGGATTATGGAGGAATTGAAAGCTAATATGAGTAGCTTCTTGTAAGAGTGCTTGGCACACAGAAAATATTCTATAAATCTTAGCTGGCAGTAGTAGTAATTTTGGTGCCACATTAATGACTATTATGAGGACCATTTTGTGATATTATTTATCATTTTCTTCGAATTGACTTTCCTCTACTTTAATATTTCTTAAGATATTTCTTAAAGGGGAGTCTGCTGGTCCATATCACTTGCCATAAATAAAAAGTATGTGTAAAAATATGAAGACCCCCCAATTCTAAATAATCTTGCCTTCCTCAGCTCTGAATCTGAGGCACTCTCTCAGTTATTATAAAAATAGAATTAAAGTATTAGGTGATGTTAAAGTGGTTTTGAACAAGGATTGAGTCTGTCTTTATGGCAGAATCAGAAATACAGTGTGACAAAGCACGTCTCCGCATGTAGCTGTGTGTTACTGACACAGACCCAGTCTCTGAAGGTGGGAGGCGTCCTGCGCTTGGTAGACTCTAATCTGGGCCATTTTGATATTTTACAGCTAGTGGACATCAAGTCTTCTTGTCATTTTGTACTGCATCTACCTGCCTTTGGACCCCTGTCCTGTCTGCTGGGTGCCTGCTGCGCCCGATTTTCTCAGGGCCTGGGGCCCCTCTGCTGTCTCGTGAGGTCTCTTAGTTCATAATGCAGCTCCGTAGAGTCTGCATCGGAATCCACTTGGGCAGCTTGGTGCTGTCCCCGGCCTCTTGTCTGTCAGGCTTCTCTTTCCCCTTGAAAGTCCACCGTGCCCTTCCCAGCTGGACAGCCATTCTTCTCCTTGGAGAAAAGGCGGAACGGGCAGTGACAGGTGATCTGCCCTGGATGGCAGCCCCTTCCTTCCCTTCTCTGCCAGTCCCTTTGTGCCCTCCGAGAAGCCTCACCCTCCTCTGTCCACTCTGCCAGGTCCTGCCCCTCCTGCTCCTTGTTCCTGCCCTCCTCTCCCCTCTGTTGTGGGTGGCCGCTCTGAACCCGAGCTCATCTGAGGTCTCTGTGACCTGCACGTTTCTTTGTTTCTGAGCCCTTTCTGCCATCTGAACCCATTCTGCTCCCGGCTCTTTCCCGGGTCTCCCATGGGGCCTGGCGTTCCCTCAGCACCTCTGGCCTGGGAACTTACTCTCTTGGTGATCAATTGTTTGAAACCTGTTCTTCCAAACTCTAGGGTGTGTTTCCCGTCTCCTGTTACAAACCCTTGGGTGACCCGAGCCCTTTGTCCTACTGTCCCCGACTCCTTGTCACACCCCCCAGTTCTTCCAGGTGAGCAGCTTTGCCCCTCTTTTTCCAGAAGGTGAAATTTCTATCAGCTCCTACTTCTTTTCTCCCCTGCGGTGCATTCAGTAGAGTAGGACTCGGGCAGGTGTGCACTGGCTGGCAGCCCCACGCCCCCCCCCCCGTGCTGCCTCTGCATCTGGGGGTGCAGAGCCACGACCTCCATCTCCTGGGGGTCAGGTCGACTCTCGCCTGTGGCTCGCTTTCATTTCTCCTTTCTTCCGTTCTGTTCAGAGTGGTTTTCTGTTCTCCCCCTGGAGGCTCGGGTTTCCTCCTAGAGGGTTTCATCTGGAAGTCACTTTCCCTCGTTTTCCTTCCAGAAGACATCTCTTTGGGGGAGAGATCCATTTTTCCATCTCCGTGTGAATAATATGGATAAGTTTTCTTCCCATTTGCCAGTCACTTAAGGCACAGGCTTTGGGGTCAGTGGAGGCATTTGGCTTCTGGAACCATCATTTGATGGGGTCCACGTGGACAGGACTCAAAGCCTCGGTTTCCTTGTCACTAGAAAGGAGTGGCAACGCCTGTCTCTTGGGTTGTTTGGAGGGTTCAGAATGAGCTGCACCGGGCCTGTCTTGGGTGTTCTGCCTGGTTGGTGACTCTGGATCCCATTGCCCTCATCTTCCTGCACCAGAGGCAAGTTGTTCTGCTGATCTGAGTAATAATAGAGACCGGGATTGTCGTGAGAATGCCGTGACGTGTCAGGAAGAGGTTTAGAGCAGCACAGAGTTCTGTGGGCTCCCACGCGCTCGTTACCCGTTAACCACACTGTGCCTGGTGACATGTGCACAGGGGCAGGAACCTCTCGGTCAGGTTTTGTCCTGCCCACTGGGTAATTAAGCAAATGGAGCTGGGCACTGACTCCTGCCACCCCCTGATCCCCAAGCCCCTCTGCTCACTGACAAGACATGCCTACCTGAGTGTCCTCACAGATGGTGCCAGATTCACCACCCTACAAATGCACACGCGCAGGCGCATGCATGGCCAGTCCCCCCAGCCCCCATCCCAGACACTTGGCACTAGTCACCCAAGCAGGAGTCTGGTGCATCCCTTCCCCCACCTACTCACCATGGGCCGCCACCACTGACCACCTTTTTGACCCCAGTCTATCTGTCCTGTGTCCCCAGGGCTCCTGCCTGCTGTCACAGCCTTTGAATCCCCCTCCCAGGAATAGCAGGGACTTCCTGCTGGCCCCAAGTCTTCCCCAGTCTAGCTCAGGCAGGAACAAGCTTTCAGCCAGACCTTGCCTTGGTTCAGACTGGTCCTGCGTTTTCCCGTGGTGCCCCTCAGATGCTCAGAGCACCGCCTCCCCAGCGCCCACCCCAGACCAGCTTGCCCCTCCTGGGTGGTCGTATCCAGGTGTCTTCTGTTCCCTTGCAACACCAGGGACCTCTTTACCTTGAGCAGCCCATGCCCTCTGCCCTGATGATCCCTGCCTGCCCCACCCAACTGGGGACACCCTTGGCCTTCAGCACTGAGCTCCTGTCCCCTATCCAGGACATCCACATCACCTCCCACATGACCCACCTCTTTCTCTGCCTTTTCTCCTTCACACCTCCTGATGGCCAGATTTGATAGCACCTTGAGGATAATGCCAAACACATCTAATTCGTCACGACGTCTGCAGGGATGTGTGTTAACTGACTAAGCAGGAAAGCAAACTTCATCATAAAAGTTGGGTCCATCATAAAAGTTGCCTCTCCCCTCAAACCCACGTCCCTCTTCCTAAGATAACGCTCCACCCCCTCCAGGAACAGTCTTCAGCATGTCCCCTGTGGTCCAGACAGGCACTTCTTTTCCAAAACCGTTTCAGTGGTCCGTTTTCCCTTCCTGAACCCTCTTCTCAAAGCCACACTCGGGGCTAGAAGAGAGAAGCGATCCCTGCTCAGCCTGTGAAACCAGAGGAAAGAGCCTCTGAATCCTGGCAGCAGCCAGCTGGGGCTTCGTCTCCAGCAGCCCCATTGCCCTCTGACCAGCTGCCCTGACCATTGTCCCTCCAAGCCCTTTGTGTGGGTTATCTGTTTAATCCCACAGCTCTGCAGAGGTGTGTTTCCTTATCATTTCATGGGATATCCACCCCACAGCGAGTTCTTAGCCCTGGAGTGAAACCCCCACACACCAGTGCCTGTGTGGATGACTGATTAACTCTCTGAGCCTCGGTTTACTCATGCAAACAGAGGCCCTCATAGTACCTTCCTCTGGCTGTCACTGGGCCAAGATAAAATAATGTCCACGCAAAGCACCCTCCCATACCGTTCAAACGATAGTATTGATTATGTTATTAACAGTATTATTTTATCTTGGCCTCAGAACAACCCCAAAGAAAGAACTGTGAATGACTCTGTTTTGCATCTGAGCAAACTGAGGCTCAGAGAATGAATGAGCTTATATCAGGTCATCCTCATAGGAACTGGGGCATCCTCGTCCCCTGTGTCCCTTCCAGCAGTAGTCATATAGAAAGAGAGGCTCAAAGAGGGTAAGTAACCTTCTCAGGACGACACCGTTGCTTAGTAGAGCGTATTAACCAGGATTGGAACCCAGGATCTCCACAAATGTCTTGACCACACCCCAGTGCTTATACATCCAACAGACCTCAAAATCTAAATTTGATCAGAGGTAGAGAGAGACCCAGTCCTGACCAGGTGCACTGTAAAGACCCTCTGAGAATACAGGTGTTTGTAGCTCTGCCTTGAACAAGTTATATTATTTTAAAGAGCATCTGCCCCCAGTTTTCCTGCGGGCAGGACCCTTGGGAACTATGACACAGGGTGAGGACACAGGCAGAGGCAGAGCCCTTGGGGGCGACTTGGCTCCCTTCTCTACCCACAAGCAGCCCTTCGTGTCTAAGGAAAGTTGGAAAGCGGTTCCTAACCAAGACACCCACATGTACTGTTTCCAAGTAAGTTCTCAACTGCAACTCTACAGCAGCGTATTTTAATTTCAGATATTCACAGCGATATTTGAAAATAAGTTGGGAAAGCTGTTTCCTGACAAATTGCTTGTGTCAGGATTATTTTACCACCTTTCTGCTCTAAACAAATGTAGTTTTTACTTAAGTTGGTGCAACTCTAGGCTTGGGGGCAAATATTTTTTTTTTTAATGAGAATTTGACTGGCAGGAACCGGGATGGGAGGGGCAGCTTAGCCCAGCATCTGACCTAGAAGCCAAGAAGGCGGCGGCAGCAATGGCGTATGGAAGACCCTGCGGGGTGTGTGGCAGGGAGAGGACCACAGTGAGGGTGATGGGATTGGTCAGTCTGTGGGGAAGCCACAGGTGTATTGAGAGACACTGTGGTGTCCTGGGGATGTGTCCTGAACAGGGTCACGGCACTCTGTGACCTTGGCAAGTCACTGCCCTGAGTCAGGATCCAAGTCTGCTCTGGAGTCTCGGCGCCACAGAGAATTATCTCAGAAGCATTTGAGGACCAGGAGATGCTCCCCGCGTGAAAAGGGGTCTTCATTTCAGCTTGGAGATTCCTTAATCTGGATTTCTAGGGCGTCTCTGGGCCCCCCTTACTCAGTTGATGCAGACCCATAGCAGCAGTAAGAGGGACTGCCGTGGGACAACCCCACCTTGAGCTCCCTGCACACCCTCTCCAGCTGTCACCGTCCTCCAGGTCCTCAGGCTGATGCTGTCTCCAGCCCTCAAGTGGAAAATGGGAAAATGAGAGGGGTTTGTGAAGCCATGGGAGCTCTCTCTGTGCTCTGACCACTGTGCCTGGGGCTCCCCTCTAACAGGAAGGTCAAGGGTGGAGGGCTGAGGTTCCAGGGGCTCTTGTTGCTGGGAAGGGGCCTGCAAGACCTGGTAGGCCTGAGAGGGTGGGCGTTTGGGTGGAGGTTGCTCATAAGCCCAGGTCCGCGTCTGATCATCTTCAGCAAATGAACCTTGGAGAGGAGAAGTCTCTTGTCCTCTTCCTATAGGCTCCGTCCCAGGGCTGATTGGCCTCTGGCCTGCCGACCTCCACCCACATGCTAAAGGAGGAAGGAGCTTCCTCTGTGTCCCCATCCCAGATCACACACAGCAGATGGGCCTCGCCTGACTCCTCTTCTCCCACCAGCTCTCCCTGGGACACCTGCCCAGCCAGCCTGTCTCCCGTGGGCTGTTCCCGCACACACCCCACAGAGGAAGCTAACCTGCGCTCGGTTTCTTACAGACCAAATGTCACCAGTACTGGCCCGACCCCCCTGACGTCATGGACCACGGCGTCTTTCATATCCAGTGTCAGACAGAGGACTGCACCATCGCCTACGTGTCCCGAGAAATGCTGGTCACAAACACAGAGGTAAGCAGCGGTCTCTGCGGGTAGGTGGAGGGGCAGGGGGCAAACCAGCAGCCACTGTGGTCCCTGCTGGGGCCACGTCTTCAGGTCTGCTCTGTTTTCACCTGATGGAGCTATCAATCAGTGCAAGACTCCCAGTCACAGAGCCAGTACCAGGGTGCACGGTGGCACCTTTCACAACAGCCGAGCAGGGGAAGCAGCCCTGTGTCCATCAAGTAATGAATGAGTACACAAAATGAGTCTATCTGCACAGTGGAATAGTACTCAGCCTTTAAAAGGAGGGGGATTTCAACACATAATACAACTCAGGTGAACCTTAAGGATGTTACGCTAAGTGAAATAAACCAGTCACAGAAGGACAGAAACTGAAAATTCCGTTTATATGACGTACCTAGAACAGTCAGATTTATAGAAAGGAAATGATAGTTGCCAGGAGTTTGAGGAAAGAGAACAATCGGGAGTTATAGTGTAATGGATATACGAGTTTATGTTTGAGTGATGAAGAAAGTTCTGGAAATAGTGGTGATGGTATCACAACATTGTGAATAAGTATACTTGTTGCCCCTGGACCTTACATTTAAAAATGGTTAAATGTTAAACTTCGTATGCATTGTGCCACCGTAAAAGAAATACATATAAAGGGGCTGAGGGTGGAATTCAGTGGTAGAGTGGTGGGTTTAGCATGCTCAGAGCCCTGGGTTTGATCCCCAGCGCTATAAAGTGTGTGTGTGTGTGTGTGTGTGTGTGTGTGTGTGTGTGTGTCTCCAGCTGTGTGGGCCTATTGCAAGCACAGTTGGAGCTAATGAAAGAAATCACTGTAGGCTAAAGAGTCGGAAGGCCACCCTCCAGGAGGGGGCTCAGCTGAGAAGAAGATGGGTGTCTTGGGAAAGTGGGCGGATGTGGGATGTGGCAGGGGCCACAGCAGAGCTGTGCACAGTAGGAGTAGGAACATGGGGCCCAGGGCACCCTGGACGGTGTTGGGGACGGGGCCCACCACCAGGACTGATTCACCGAAGCCACCGCATGTCCCACAGACTGGGGAAGAGCACACGGTGACACATCTCCAGTATGTCGCATGGCCSGACCACGGTGTGCCCGATGACTCCTCGGACTTTCTGGAGTTTGTGACCTACGTGAGGTCCCTGCGGGTGGACGGGGAGCCCCTCTTGGTTCACTGCAGGTACTGCCACTGTTTTGCCTTATTATACCCCTGGGGAAAGGCCTGGAGAAGATTGGCAGGCACCAAATCGCCCTAAGCCCACCACGTTGTGCGTTCTCACCAAGCTCTCTTTCTTCACCATTTCAAAGGAATTGGAATTTTCAGGAAAAAAGATCATAAGCATGTGCATGTAGCCCAGAGCCCGAGAGGAGAGTCCTCCCCTAGTCTCTGTCTGTCCTGAGCATGTCTCCCTTCGCCCTTCATAGCAGATGGAAATAGCAGAGGGATTGGACTTTGCACTCAGCAGTGGGCTTCTCCCCAGTAGCTGAGCCCAGCCTCAGATGGCCTTTGCCCCTGCCATGAACCCTGCCTAAGTGTGTCTTTGCGTTCCTGGTGGCTCCTTCTGAGTCAACGCAGGCACTGCATCAGGGTGTAGCTGGGCTGTGCAGAAATGTTCCTCGGGCAAATCTTGAGTCTCTGCTCCTCTCCCTCCCCAGTGCTGGAATAGGTCGGACTGGCGTGTTGGTCACTATGGAAACAGCCATGTGCTTAATTGAGAGAAACTTGCCTGTTTACCCCYTGGATATTGTCCGGAAAATGCGAGAGCAGCGCGCCATGATGGTGCAGACGTCCGTGAGTACAGACCAGCAATAAAAAGCCTAATGGTGTCCGGCACTTCCTGAGCAGCTGCCCTGGGCCAGGACTGGGTGAAGGGCCTTATGGGTCATGAGACGGAGGGTCAAGGGAACTGAGTCCTTACCCACAGCTTGGGGACAGGGGTGTTCACAGTCCCAAAGCCCACAGCCATGTGTCCTCCCAGGTGTGCCGCCCTCCATACCCACAGCCTCTGGCTGGTTTCTCCAGTGCCCTGTCATCAACAGAGTGTCTAAAGCAGACTTTGGAAAGTCCTAGAGGAGGGCCCCTCAGGCACAGCCCCAGGCAGTGAGAAGGAGGGGTCGGCAGAGGCAGGAGCTTGGACGGCTAGGAGAGTCCCCTCACAGATTGTGAGCCCTTGCGGTTTATTAGTTTGTACCCAGGAAATGGGACTAAGAGGAAAGAAGTGGACATGTATTTAAGGATGGAGAAGTCCTTCCTCTTGGGACTTTCCTACTTGGAGATGCTCCATCTCAGTGCTCTGGTTTTTTTCCTTCTCTGCTTCTTTAAAATGCGCCTGAGGTCTTTGCTAGCGCAGTCGGCCCTTGGTTTCCATGGGCTCTGCATCCAAGGACTCAGCTGATGGCAGATCAGAAATATGAGGAAAAGTTGCTCCTGCAGCCAGACACGCAGACTTTTTTCCTTGTCGTTATCTCCTCAACAGTCCAGTATAGCAGCTATTCACGTAGCTTTACATTAAGCATTATAAGAATCTAGAGATGATTCAAAGTACATGGGAAGATGTGTGCAGATTTCATGCAAATACTCCAGGGGTTCCTGAAGCCCATCTCCCATGAACACCGAGGGGCACCTGTGTAATAACCATATCCTGCAGAACATCCTCAGTAGCTTTCCTTTTCAAGACAAATCCAGACTCTTTGCCCCACGCGGGGAGCCCCACAACCAGATCCTGGCTCACCTGAGCACCTCCCTCCTCCACACACCCAGGGGTTCTAGGACAGGACTCTGGGACCCCGACTGCACTTCTCAGAACGGCCCTCCTCATCGAGGGTTTGTACTTCTGCAGAGTGGCCACCCTGCAGGGACCTTAGTTCTTTCCCAGACTACCACGGCCTCCTCTGTCACACAGAGGACCTTCTGCCCTTCCCCCTCTGGGGGCTGCTGTCCTCATCAGGTGGCACACCTCCCTGGTGGGTCTCTTTTGCCGAGTTGGTGCCAAGGGAGCTGTGAGGAACAGCACAGAGAGTCAGCCTGCACCGCGTGACACGGGGTTCCTGGTGCTCCTGACCTGACAGCGTCCCTTCTCTCCTTTTCCAGAGCCAGTACAAGTTCGTGTGTGAAGCGGTTCTTCGCGTGTATGAAGAAGGCTTAGTCCAGATGCTGGATCCCAGTTAGGACGACTGTGAAGCGTTCATCCCTGGATCCCGAGGGCATCTTCCCTAGGAGAGCAGGACACACCTTCCTCCAGAGGCGGGAGAGGAACCGCCAGCTGTGGGGAAGGGATGAGCACATTTGAACCCAGGCACTTTAAATTTTCTAGGAAAGGGATCCTGTACACAGGAACTGGTGTAGATATGCATGCAASTGTGGCTTCCTTTAGGCCCAGAGAGAAATAAAAAGGGATCCCAGTTTGGACCTTCCTCCCCAGACATCACCACCCCACTGTTGGCCACCCTTGTCCTTACAAGAGGGGCCGGCAGCCGTGCTCCTGACCTCCCCAGAAGCTGGACAGCATGGTTCTGGAAGGCTKCGTGGTGTTCTGTGTGTTGATCTGGGTAGGACTCTGAGGGCTGAGCTTCCTGTGCGTCCAGGCAGGGCTGGAGCAATGCACAGTCCCACCCCGGTGCCAAGGAAGCCCTGGTGAACGTCCCACACACCGGGTGGTGGCCATTCAGGCTGAAGGACAAGCAGCGCCCTGCCTTGGTCTCAGCTCCATGCCCCTTGCAATCTGCAAAGCACCCCCACCCCCCGCCCCTCCATCGTCCCCCTTCAGGTTCATATCCAGTGCCTGAACCAGATTTGAATGTATGTAGAGGCGAATTTCCAACCGAGACTGAGAACTCCASGCTCGGCGTGATCCCGCCTCTTAGCGTTAGAAACAGGTGTGTGTCAGCTCTGCTTGCCTCATCCTGGATTCACGGACGCCAGGACCGGGACCCCTGACTACTGAATCTCGTACATGGACTGCTGCTACTCCAAGCTCTTACACTTGAAGAGACATGATCCCCTGAGGGGGACAGGATCATAGCATCGAAATATTCTTTGGCCCTTCTAAGAAAAGACCTGCTCGTAGGTGACCACGGGAAACCCTGCTTGCCAGGAGCCCCTGTTGGCGTGTGTGCCTGCGCGTGC